GGGGGGGGAATGGGAGAAAAAACGGGGGAAAATGGGGGGAAAAATGGGGGAAAATGGGGGGAAATGGGGGGAAAATGGGGGAAATGGGGGAAAAACGGGGGGAAAATGGGGGAAAAAATGGGGGGAAATGGGGGAAAAAACGGGGGGAAAATGGGGGAAAAAACGGGGGCAAAATGGGGGAAAAACGGCGGGAAATAGGGAAAAATAAGAGAAAATGGGGGAAAATGGGGGAAAAACAAATGGAGAAAAATGGGGAGAAACGGGGGAAAATGGGGGGGAAAGGAGAAAAATGGGGGGAAATGGGGAAAAACAAATGGGGAAAAAGAGGGGGAAAATGGGGGAAATGGGGAGAAACAAATGGGGAAAAACGGGGGAAAGTGGGGAAAATGGGGGAAAAATGGGGGGAGATGGGAAGAAACAAATGGGGAAAAATGGGCAGAAAGGGGGGAAAACGGGGAAAAAAGGAGAAAATGGGGAAAAATGGAGAAAACTGGGGAAAATGGGGGAAAACCGGGGAGAAAATGGGGGAAATGGGGAACAACGGGGGGAAACGGGGAAAAAACGGGGAAAAAACGGGGAAAAAACGGGGAAAAATGGGGAAACAAAGTGTTTTCCTTGGAAAAACGGGGAGCCTCGGGACGGGGGGGCGGCAGGGGACAGAAACCCCCCCGGGGGGACACGATTGGGGCGGGGGTCTCACCGCGGTGGGCGGGGACCCCGTAGTCGAGGCCGTTGTCGTCCTGGATGAAGCCCCTCCCGTCGGGACAGAGCGCCACGAACTCGGCTGGGGGGTGGGAAAAAAGCATCAAGGGGAGGGGTCCTGAACCCCCAGACCACCCTCGGGACCCCCCAAACCATCCCCCGGGGACCCCCCCGGTGTCCCCAAATTGTTCCTGGTGTCCCCAAACCGCCCCCGGCGTCCCCCCTTTTACCAGGAGGGCGCCATGAACTCGGGTGGGGGGTGAGAAAAAACCTCAAGGGGAGGGTCCTGAACCCCCAGACCACCCTCGGGACCCCCAAACCATCCTCGGAGACCCCCCTGGTGTCCCCAAATTGCTCCCGGTGTCCCCAAACCCCTCCCGGTGTCCCCCCTTTTAACAGGAGAGCGCCACGACCTTTACTAGGGGGGTGGCAAAATATCTCAAGGGAGGGGTCCTGAACCCCCAGACCACCCTCGGGACCCCCAAATCATCCCCCGGGGACCCCTCTGGTGACCCCAAATTGCTCCCGGTGTCCCCAAACCGCCCCCAGTGTCCCCAAACCGCCCCCGGTGTCCCCCCTTTTACCAGGAGAGCACCAAAAGCTTGGCTGGGGGGTGGGAAAAAACCTCAAGGGGAGGGTCCTGAACCCCCAGACCCCCCTCGGGACCCCCAAACCATCCCCAGGGGACCCCCCGGGTGTCCCCAAATTGTTCCCGGTGTCCCCAAACCGCCCCCGGCGTCCCCCCTTTTACCAGGAGAGCACCAAAAGCTTGGCTGGGGGGGGGGAAAAAACCTCAAGGGGAGGGTCCTGAACCCCCAGACCCCCCTCGGGACCCCCAAACCATCCCCAGGGGACCCCCCGGGTGTCCCCAAATTGTTCCCGGTGTCCCCAAACCGCCCCCGGCGTCCCCCCTTTTACCAGGAGAGCACCAAAAGCTTGGCTGGGGGGGGGGAAAAAACCTCAAGGGGAGGGTCCTGAACCCCCAGACCCCCCTCGGGACCCCCAAACCATCCCCGGAGACCCCCCTGGTGACCCCAAATTGCTCCCGGTGTCCCCAAACCCCTCCCGGTGTCCCCCCTTTTAACAGGAGAGCGCTACGACCTTTACTAGGGGGGGGGCAAAATATCTCAAGGGAGGGGTCCTGACCCCCCAGACCACCCTCGGGACCCCCAAACCATCCCCAGGGGACCCCCCTGGTGTCCCCAAATTGTTCCCGGTGTCCCCAAACTGCTCCCGGTGTCCCCCCTTTTAACAGGAGAGCGCCACGACCTTTACTAGGGGGGTGGCAAAATATCTCAAGGGAGGGGTCCTGAACCCCCAGACCACCCTCGGGACCCCCAAACCATCCCCAGGGGACCCCCCTGGTGTCCCCAAATTGCTCCCGGTGTCTCCAAACTGCTCCCGGTGTCCCCCCTTTTAACAGGAGAGCGCCACGACGTTTACTGGGGGGGCGGCAAAATATCTCAAGAGAGGGGTCCTGAACCCCCAGACCACCCTCGGGACCCCCAAATCATCCCCCGGGGACCCCTCTGGTGACCCCAAATTGCTCCCGGTGTCTCCAAACTGCTCCCGGTGTCCCCCCTTTTACCAGGAGAGCGCCACGACCTTTACTGGGGGGGCGGCAAAATATCTCGAGGGAGGGGTCCTGAACCCCCAGACTACCCTCGGGATCCCCAAACCATCCCCGGAGACCCCCCTGGTGACCCCAAATTGCTCCCGGTGTCCCCAAATTGTTCCTGGTGTCCCCAAACCGCCCCCGGCGTCCCCCCTTTTACCAAGAGGGCGCCACGAACTCGGGTGGGGGGTGGGAAAATACCTCAAGGGGAGGGTCCTGAACCCCCAGACCACCCTCGGGACCCCCAAAACCACCCCCAGTGTCCCCTCCCCATCCACACGACCTCGGGTGGGGGGTGGGAAAATACCTCAAGGGGAGGGTCCTGAACCCCCAGACCACCCTCGGGACCCCCCAAACCACCCCCAGTGTCCCCTCCCCATCCACAGTGTCCCCTCCCCACCCCCGATGCCCCCCGGGGAAAAATCGGGGAA